AGGGTACATATATGTATATATATTACCTCATTCCTTCAATCCATCCGGGGAATGGTTCCTTGTAGGTGCTTAATATAATTGTTGGCCGTAGGATTATGAGTTGGAGATCCTCCTTTAAGTGTCCTAAAAGCATCTCTCCCATTGCTTTTGTGAACGTGTATGTGTTTGGCCATCCATGTATCTTTGCCCTGAAGAATCATAATTGTCGTAAAAGAAGGGAAGCAACCCTATAAATCTTCAAAAGAATAGTGAGACTGATTTTATGAAACGTTTAATTACCTCTCAATACCTAGAGCTCTCATAGCTAAAGTTACTTCCTTTTCAGCGGCATTCCTAGCTTTAAGGTCGTTTAGTGTCTCCTCTACAACCTTTTGCTCCACTTCTATGTCCAATTGAGAGCCTCCATTAAGCGTCTCACCATAGTGCAATGGTTTCTCTAGTATCAATCCATCATTTTCTCCACAAACATAAGCTGAATTAAAGAATCAGGAGTCTTTACGCTAAAGTCAATGCGCCCCAAGTCATGGTTAGAAAAATTAGTTAAATAATATGGAGCTCACCTGTGCTAATATGGAGAAGCATATTTAGTTTTGAGCACTGTTTGGAAAACTTAAGAATATTCAGGGCACCCAGTGTATTGGTCCTTATTGCAGTATCATATCTGCAAATGGAGTAATTAGTTTTTATTTTTATTTTTATTTATCTTAGGAAAAAGAATGTTAATCTATAACTGCACCTTTCATCAAATCTAGTTGCAGCAGCTGAGTTTACAATTATGTCTATTTCTTTGAACATCTCATTTTTCAGCTCAGAATTTATCCCCAAATTATCACAAGCTATATCACCAGCAACTAGGAAAACTCTGTCTTCTATAAGGGCCTGTAAGTTGGCACCCAATTTCTTCCTTAGAACTCCAAACAGATCTGTCTTTATAACCTGCATTTAGAACATTCTATTCTTTGATTGATCACGTTGAGTAGTGAACTCTGATAATCTTGAATTCTCATGTGGTATAGTCTAATATGATGGCTATTATTTCTACTGCTACACTACTATTACTTCTGTGATAGTTTGGTAGTACCTCGTTGTTAAAACGCTCTTTAGCTAAATTTGAATCTGGAGCTCTAATTAGCAAGTAGAGCTTCTTCACATTTGGCTGGACACGGAGTATCTTCTCGATGAGAACTACATTAATATGTAACAAATAAAGCACTAGAAATTTCATCTATGTTATCATCTCCTCAAGAAGCACTGTTAATGCAACCTATATATAGGAGGGAGAAAGAGAAAGAGAGAGAAAGTACTCTTTGCTAGGTAGCCAGTTGCACCAGCGATGAAAATGGTCTTGCCTTCAAGAAACTGATTAATGCCGCACGATTCCATTGATGAAGAATGTTCACAGAAGTGAGCTAGAGGTAAGAAAATTTATGGGGGTTAAATTCATATTATAAATACTTGTACATATGATATTATTAGGCCTAAAAAGTACTAGAAAACTATGTGTTGCAGGGAAATTATACTGGAAAACTAATTAAGTAAAGCATTTGCACATGTACAAAATCACCTGGATTTCTTGAATGATTTTACGTATGTAGATGGAGTCCAGTACCTACTATATATGTTGAAATGTTCTAAAGACAATATGAGAGTACCAATATTATGTGGTATGTGGCTAGTTAGATACAAATATTTTCAAAGAGAAATGAATGCTACCCATCTCTGCAGTTGCAACTGTAGAGCTATCCAAATATTTATAATGAATTAACAAAGTCTATCTTGTCATAGGCTCCGGCTTGCAGCATGGGATATTACTTTAGTTAGGCGCGGCTTAATAAAAGACCTTAAATTTATCTTTGCAAATATAAACTCCGCGGCACGCATCCGCTTCAATCTATTTAAGCGGCCTCTTAAAGTTATTATTAATTTTCATTTGGATATTTGAATTAAGGCTTGTTCCTATTAGATACTTCAACGTCATTTAAGTTGTGCTATTGAACAATATGCTACCACGTATGAACTTGGCATAAAGATCATTTCAAATTAAAAAATAATATATTAATTCGACTCGGCATGCATGCAGTGCGAGGACAATGAATGGAATTGAGGTAATTAGCACTTTTGATTCAAAATCAACCACATAGTGGTAGATTCAATGTACTTCAATTAACGTGTAATAACATAGTCTAAGAACTAAGTCGCTATCTCGTAAATCTTACCTACGAGTCTACAACTGCTACGTGAAATCTCAACAACAATAACAACTACACCACAATTTAAACGAGTGGAGTCGATTATGTTTATCCAATTAAATTCGTCTTAGGCCAACTTTATGCAAATATAAAATTTAAATTATGTAACATATTTATAGAGATTATGATGTAACAGCTAAAGCACAACGCCAAACAATAGCTTAGGCTGATTCTACCAAAAGTTTGATTATCTTCGTGTCTGCTTTTATATGATACTAATATTAATTGCATGTTTGAGAGTCTGCCTGAACGAGCTATTTAACTTTTCAGGTTGGTCAAATGACATTCCGGCTACTGACCTAATCGACTATTAGGCCATTGAACATATTATAAATCCTTATACATAAGATATCATCATGGAAATTATACTGGAAAGCAAACCAATGCCTTTGAACATATGCAAAATCACCTAGATTTCTTGAATGATTCTACTTACATATGATGGAGTTTAGTACCTACTCTATATACTTATATACTGAAGTTTTCCGAGTACCCGTTTTATGTGATATGTGACTAGTTAATTAGATACCCATATTCAAACTTGCATACTGAGTATTACTTTCTCCGGTCTATAATAAGTGAATTTTAATATCTTATTATTTTTTTATTTTAATCCGAAATAAGTGATCTTATATATAATCAAGAAGGAATTAACTTTGTTTTTCTAAAATTTGTTCAACACCTAAAAATCACTTATTATTAACGGGAGCGAGTACCTATATGTGCGGTTGCAACTCTAGTATGCAGACCTGCCCAAATATTTATAGTGAATTACCAAGGTCTATCTTGTCATAGGTCGTGGCTTGCAACAAGGGGTATTACTTTGTTAGGTGCGGCTTAATAAAAGATCTTAAACTTATCTTATATAATTTCATGTATATCTTTATTTGAAGTTTATTCTTGTTGCCTTTTAAGATGCAAAATTATTAAATAATTTTTTGGTTATAATCAATTTCTTCTAATAGTATTTTTGTCAATTAATAATATAGTCAACCGATTTAATTTTTCTCGAAACATTATTGATCATCCTAGATATGATTTTATCATTTTCAATTTTGAAAAAAAAAATCTTTTACTTGAGGTTACTGTTATAAAAACGATTAATAAAAAACCTTAAACTTATCTTTGCAAATATAAACTCTTTGAATGCAACAGTCAGGGGTGTACAAAGAAAACTGACAAACCGCACTAACCTGATAATTCAAGTCAAACCGAGAAAAAAAAATCGATTATGATTTGGTGTTGAAAAAAACCCCGACCATAATTGGTTTGGTTTGGTTTTAACTAAAGAAAGTCAAATCGAAACCAAACCAACCCGACATTATATATATAGAAATTTTAGATTTATTTAGTATATAAATATACATATTGTGATGTAATTTATAAATATTTCTTAAACTTTTTCATAATTTTATCTTTCAAAGTATTATTTTAAGGTTGGACTTAATTAGAACTTTCGAATATTCCAATAACTTTTATACCCATTAATATTAGTAACTTAAATAATGCTAACAAAATTTCAAACCAAAATCAAATCAATACTAATGCTAACAAAAGACATTCAATTGAATACTACGAACGGCAATGTATTGAATATCTATTTTTTGTTTTGCAATAATTTAGATAAAAATGCATAACCTATTTTTATTTTTTCTTTAGCTTTTAGTCATGTAATTAATACTCCCTAATTAGTCTACTTATTTTAGCATGACTTAGTACTTTTAGATTATGTTTATTTTTATTATGCTTTTTAATTAGCAATATTTATGTTATATTATTTTATTGTCTTTATTGTTGAATATTTAAGGGTAATATTTTGTTTTTGAAAATACCTTATATAGTTGTATCTTACGAGGAATAAAGAAATATTTTGAGCACGGGTTATACGTTTTGTTCTACGAAGATTTTATCGAAAAAAACCCGAAAACCCCCGAATAACCTGAAAACCCGAGATTGAAAAACCCGAATTTTATTAATTTGATTTGGTCTTTAAATTTAATAACCCGACACAATTAATCTAATTTAGTAATTACAAAATACGAATCAACCCGACCTATATACACCCCTAGCTTCCATCTATTCTTCGTAGACGAGCAAGACATACTTAAAGTACAATTGTGGGAGTTGCAGATTAATTAAAATAAGGCAGTTTTGAACATTAGAAATTCAAACCAAAACTTTAGATTTGGTGGAAAAAATTGAACTGCCTATAAAAAGAAATTTAGGCCAAATAGATAAGCGGCCTCCTAAAGTTATCATCACTTCTTATTTGGATATTTAAACAGTTTGGATGGTTACTCATTGCATCGTATTGTATTATTATCCTAATATAGTGTTTGTTTTGATTGTTTATTTAAAATTTATTGTATTATATTATTAAATTCGTTGTTCTGGAATAATGAAAAGTCTCATTTTATTAAACAATAATTTGGTGTGGTGGGATTATTGTTTATTTTTCTTTTTAATTATACCCTTTCTTATTACTCCATAATTATATTTATACTTTTTTTTTTAACTTCAAATCTCCAACTTATTGACTTAGTTTGTCTTTGTCCATCTTTTCAACAATTCATTCGTGCCGTTCTTTTAATCCAAATCTCCAAATCTCTGTTTGATTCTTTGTCTCTTCCCATAGCACAAGTGTCACGACCCAAATACCCCGGTTGTGATGGCGCCTATCACAATACTAGGCAAGCCAACCCAACAATTACCACATCAAGTTCCTTTTATAAAAATCATTTCTAGAACCGTTTGAGTCTTAAATTCTTCATATGTAATATAACATCAACAAAAATATGCAAAAAATAGTACAAAATATACTGACACAGCCCAACAATCTGGTGTCACTAGTCATGAGCCTCTAAGTACAACCAAACGCGGTCTGAATAATACAAAGTAGACTGAGATAATAAAATGCTAAGATAGGAAAGAGGAAGGCTGAGTTGTGCACGTCGTGCAGCTACCTTGCTTTCTCCGAAAATACTCTGAGAGTGTTGGAAGCTCTCACTCTGATGAACGATCAACAGGATCTGCACACAAGGTGCAGGGAGTAACGTGAGTACGCCAACTTGGTAAGTAACTAAAGTACATAAAGTATGAGTTCAGTGATGAGCATTTAAAAATCATATATCAGGAAATCTCAATAGAAATATCAAGTCAAAAATCTGCAGTTCAATAATCAATTTAATTCGTAAAAACTCAAGTCTCAGTTAAAAATCCTTTAAAACATTTATTCAACAATTTCAGTAGAGGCTCAGTAAATAAGACGAGTGAAAACAGGGAAAACGTCATAAACAGGCCCCTTGGGCAAGATATCACTCATAAGTATAGCCCCTAGGGCAAGCCTCTCAGTCACTCGTGACTCAGCTCTCGTCACACAGTACTCACACTCATCACTCCGGCTCAATAAATATTTCATGGTAATAATAATAATAATAATAATTGCTACGGCGTGTAGCCTAATCCAATATGTATAGTCGACTACGCTCACTGGGGTGTACAGACTCCGGAGGGGCTCCTTCAGCCCAAGCGTCATATCGCTAGTATGCAGCCCGATCCAATATATCGCTGCGGCGTGCAGCCCGATCCATAAATATATAATAATATTAATGCGGCATGCAACCCGATCCATACATATATATATATATAATATAGTCCTCACCATCCGGTCCTCGACCTCACTCTCAGTCATCAACCTTACAGCCACTCAGGCATTTCAGTAAAAATAGGGGAAACTCAGCCAAAGCAGTTTGTAGTTTAAAAATAGAGTAATGAAAATCGGGTTAAGAAAATAACAGGTAAACATGACTGAGGTTATGTTTTCAAATCAAACAGTGTGAGGAAATCAGTAAAACGCCCCTAAGGGTCTAAACAGTTCGGCACAAAGGACCCAAACATGGAATTCAACCTAAGTTAACAAAACAACTTCTAAAATACATGGATATCATATACAATATATCAAAATATGCAACTATACAGTCGCTACGGGTTGTACCAAGTCCAATACATACTAGTGTACACCCACACGCCCGTCACCTAGCATGTGCGTCACCTCATTTATCAAAACAATATAAAATTTTGGGGTTTCATACCCTCAGTCTAGATGTACAATCATTACTTACCTCAAATCGGGTGAAAATACTACTCCGTGACGCCATTGCCTCTCAACTAGGCCTCAACCCACGTCGAATCTATTAAAAAATAGCATCACAACATCAATATATTCTAAGGGAATGAAGCCCATGCAAAAATAATCAAATTACAACACAAATCCCGAAATTGGCAAACCCAACCCCTAGGCCCATGTTTGAAATCCGATAAACATTTCTTCAATAGAACCCTTATCCTCCCACGAGTCCATACATATCAATAATACCAAAATCCGACCACAAATGATCCCTCAAATCCTTAAATTTAGGTCTCCAATTTCCAAGACCTAAACCCCTAATTTTAACCACTAGTTACCACAAAATTTCAAGCTTAAACAGT